AACAGGGTTCTTGCACCGTCCCGGGCAGGCAGACTGGTTCCAGGTCACAAGATAGGTTGTGTGAACTATGGATTTGGGTTTACTAGGTTAAGTGTGATCCTAAAGGTTCAAGAAACTATAGAATTTGTTAGATTTAAAATGGGGGATCTACAACCAGTGCATGAACCGACGAAGGGATTTGTCTATTTAAAATTGTTCTGATCGCCAATCAGGCTAGCCAGATCATTTTACGTATATACAAAATAAAATTTGATTAAATTTCAAATTTTCAATAAAAATAAGAAGATTATAAGGTAAATACATGAAAAGTTGGTTGAAAATTGGAGATTTTTCAAAAACTATTGTAAAAGTGCAACTCGTGCAAAAAATTAAATATGAGACTTTAAATTTTCATAAATTACATTACTATTTATAAATAGGAAAAGTTTACATAGAGCCTAAGCTATAAACAATCAAATTAGAGCCTATCACAAAAATTTCACTAGAAGAGGTTTTTTTTTATGCTCAAATATCCTCAAATTGATCATCTTGACATCATGCATGGACTTGAGAAAAAAAATGGATTTTAAGTTTTGGAAATAGCACACCTTGTAACACATTTTTTGACCGTAAATTTTTAAGTTACTCAAGTTTCCATAGACCTGCTCGATCTACCCTATTTTTGAAGTTTTAAATTTTATAATTAAAGATTAAAATATATATTAAGGCTAGTAAAAAATTTCCAGTATTAAAACCACATTTCTTGACACTATTTGAATGTGGGCTCAAATTTGATTGTTTAGAGCCTCGGCTCGACACAAACCACACCTTTTATAAATTATCATTGTCCATGCTCCATAAACATATATATAAGAAAATAAAAGTTATTCGACTTTTTGAACTAATAAAGAATATATAATTTATATTATAAATTAATAATAATTTAAAAATCATGTCAGATTCTCATGATATTATCATCCATCAGTCATTTCTATCTTCCCCTTGGATTTATTGTGAATTGGAGCTTACTCTTCTAAATCAATTACAGTGAAATAAATCTAAATTTCCTATTTCCCATTAGCACAATCGTTATTCGTTGAAGTAGATAACTAAACTCAAGCTTCTAATCAATGTCCTGTGGCCTCCATAGAGTAGTCATCTTCAACATTTGCCCAATCATCTACATTAAGACATAGATACAGTATGATACTTGAGAGAGTGTTTTTTAGATAATAAGAAAAAAAGTGCAGCAAAACAGAAAAGAAAGCATGCCAAAATGGAACAAAATAAAAAGTTGTTAGGGTGATGGTTTTTTTCCAAAATCTCAAGATTTTTTGGATCACTGATTTTGGAATTAAAATATCATGTGCAATCAAAACAGAAAAGATGAAAAAGAAAGGTAAAACATTACACCAAACAATAGCAAGAAAGGTGGGGAAAGATTGAGTCCACTCATCCAAGGGAACCGGTAAGACCTATAGTCAAACTAGTTCAACCAATCAATCACAAGTTTCGATCAGTTCTCAAAAAATCTTAATTTTTTGCTTATGCTAAACTGAACAAGGGTCCATCCGTCAGTTCAACCGGTTGGACTGCCTGTCCAGTCTGATATTCTTAATTGTGATTATAATATAAGAAATATACATAAATACAATAGGTAAAAGTACGAAGTCCATTTACCTTTGTTCAAGGACACAATCGCCTTTAGTAGATTTGAAACCGGATGTGCTGCACTACAAAGTCGAAATGATTCTTATTAATCTTGTGAGACACCCTTGAGCACCTTAGTCATCTTGTCGTATACAATCCCAATAGAATAAAGTAGCATTTTAAAAGCCGGTTGTCCGGTTCCTATGGGTTCACATAGTTCCCGAAATTATACTTTTTTATTATTATTTTGTATTTTTATGGATTAATTCTCACACAGAGAATCAAAACTATTTGTCAATCCTGATTGGCAATTCGCTGATCCCAACTGGTTACCAAATGTCGCATTCACTCGGGCAGTCGAGTTTTTTACACAGGATAAAAGCACTCTAATTGGCATTCACTTCTCCTCTCAACCGCCCATTTTGAGATTGGACGGATGGTTGGCTAGCATCCTGGAGGAAAAACATGAAGCCCTAAATAGTAGACAAACTCACAGATAAACTCATGTAAAGATTACTTCATCATCATTATCGTCAAAGCCTTTTTCCAACTAATTGGGGTCGGCTACACGAATCCTGATCTACCATTCTGCTCTATTAAAGGCTATACTCTCAGTGAGGCTATAACTCACCAGATCTTTTCTCACTACTTCCAACCATGTCCTTTTAGGCTTACCCTTTGCTCTTTTCTAGCCTTCCACTTGAACTAACTCACACCTCCTAACAGGTTTCGTCTTGGGTTTGCGCCACACATGACCAGCCCATCTAAGTCTACTCTCTCTCATCCTGTCACTTATTCATGCCAAAACTAAATTTTCCAGAGTGTATTCATTTTCACTTAGATGAAGATTACTAAATATAATGATCGAGCAAGCTTTCTATGTTTCTCCTACAATATAAACCATATATACTTCCCCTTATCCAACCGTTCATTCTGAATGGAGGGCTAAGATTACCCCAATCACAATGTCACATCTTTACACTATTTTTTTTTTTTTTTATAAACTATTTTGAAACCAAGTTTTGTACATGCAATCTTCTATTAAACTCACACTAGAGAAAAATATAAAAATAATATTTTCAATACAATAAAATAACAAAATATTTTTAAGGGGTATTTTCATCATTATATTTTATCAAAAAATTTTTTTTAATAATGTTTATGGGTGTGCCCCAATGAGAGTATGGCATGTACCAAATTTCATATTCATACAATTTGTATAAAAAAAGTTAAAAATAAAATACTTTGAGATATCGGATCTAAGATCACACGGTGAGTGACTCTCTTGATCAAAATTGGACGGCTGGATGGTAGGGGAAGCTTCGATCTTCTATGCTATTGTTGAATTATAGAAACCTTTTCCATAAAAATCACTAGGTGAAATAAATTAATATGGGGTGTTTGTATGCATGGAACATGGAAGCACAGATGGAAAGTGAGGATCTTCGTCCAATTTTCCTTTAAACATATCAATGCAAGTAGACGGAGGCACATATAAAAAGTCTCAAATGACTTGCCCAAAACCAAGAAGAAGAAGCACAATATTGTGAAAATCACTTGCCCAAAACCAAAGGAGAGGCACAATGTTGTGAAAGGAACAGCAGGCATCTAAACAGTTAGTCTGTCTACTCGACAAAGGCAAAGAGAATTTAAGTCGTTGTGATATGGGTGGGTACCAACCCAATGTGCACAACACAAAGGCAGACCAAGGCGACAACTTTGAGATTCTGGGCACACACATTATGGAAAGTGAAGTTTGTTTTGGATGTGTTGGGTGGGGTGGGTGTGAAGCTTTCAAACAGCTACAATTGTGTAGGCAATGGAAAAAGCATTTCTTTATCTTTTTGCAACCATTCTTTTGTTTAATATGTTTACCAACACGGATCTCAATGCGAGATTGAAGGCTAACAACACGTTTCTTACTTGTGTTTTCGCATTGAGACCTGTCTTACCTCTACCTTTGCCCAAAATAAAATATCTTCCTGCCCAAGAGCAAAAGTGTGCCAACCAATAAATATCACTCTCATACTTTATGAATTTCAATAAAAAGAACAAATAAATAAAGAATAAAAAGTATATAATGGGACCATTTATTTCAATATAAAGAGGTCACAATTATTCTTAGCCACCGGATTTCAAATCGGGGCGTTGTGAACGCATCATTGACTAGACTCAAAGTTGTTAAAAAAAAAGAAAATTTAAGTTTGTGACACACCCGAAGACATCCAATTTGAGATACAATGGCTAGTAACACTTGTGACCTCCTTGTAACAAAGAAAAAACAGTCTCATAGTACACATTCCAAAAAAAAAAAGAGAGTTGGATGAAATGAAGGGAACGTGAAAGGACGAACAAAGTGAACTACCTCCTTGTTAGGTTAGGCACACGAAGGATATGGGTTAGTTTTTCTAAAGCTTAAAAAGAATAAAAGAATGAGCACGAGGATTACCTAAGAAGCAGGAAAATAGATGAGGAAGAATTATATAACAAATGATACAAGGTAACACATGATATATTGATCTCTCTCTCTCCACAAATTATTCTCATGTTTTAGTAAATTTCCGAATATTTTTGCAGTTGCTTTTCAACAACATGACAGTAGTACGAATTAAGGCCTCATGTCTTTGGCCGAATTTTGTATAATGACAAAACGCCAGACTGTTTACTCTCAAAATATTATGGATTCGGGCTGAATTTCAGTGAAATTTCGGTGCATTTTCCTTAAATATGTTTTTTGGGGCCATCCATATTGTGTTTCAGTTAAACTCAGCCATTCAAAGCCTAATTCCATCCCCTTCTATTCCCAGTATTGGAGCTTACACTTTCAATTATTTGCTTACTCTCAACTTGTAATATTCTTTTTCATTATATTTCTTCTTTTCTTTTCCTTTTTCCTTTTCTTTTTCCATCTTTTTTGGAATAATAGTACACTGCCTTTCCTTTGCAATTCCTCATGAATTCGTATTTTTGGTACCCTTCAACATAGATTCCAAATTCCATGAATTGTTCATTTATTGGAATAAAAGCAGATTATTTGTTCCCTAGATTAGAACCCTCACTACCACAACCTTCTCTCAAGTGGAGCATTGGTGGAAGCCATATTACATATTCCTCTATGCAAATCTCCTTCTCAACTTATTATTCTTTCCCTCTCTTTTCACAAATTTTCTAAATAGAAATAAAGAAAAGGAAAATGGTTTAAAATGTTGATAAGGCTATTGCTTGTCTTAGTCTAAGCCACTAACAACTATCTTGGATTTTTGGTAAATTTCATTTTTAGTCGAAGAATTAAATGCTTTTTTTTTTCTCTTTTTTTTTGCAATATAAACTACATAAGAGAATAAAAAGGGGCTATATAAAGGGATCCAATAGCCTAACCAGAGAGCTGTGGCCTTTTTTTCTCAAGCTTTTCCTTTTGTCGCCACCACTTAGTAGGAAAACCATGGGAAGTGACTTGCGGATGGGAGTTGGAATAATTGGTATTGTGTTTTTTTTGTATAGTTTTTTATTTTTGGCCTTATGAAATAAGCATTTAATGTACTTGTTGGGATAAGGCTCGGAAGATGATGATGATATTGATTGAATTTTTTGCTCAATTATATAAGTAATGCAGCTTCTTTATTATTGTACGCAGCACGAATGTAAGTATTAGGAGAAAGACGTAAGCTTTACGTGGTGATATTAACTGTCATAGTTTATAACTAATAAAATCTTATGTATACTAATAAGAGTATAATGCTCGGTTACAAAAGAAGACCACAACTAATGTTTCTCAGTGCCAACATATCGTAGGACCATAACTTATATTTCTCTCCTTTTTCAGGGGTAGCAAAGGACCCGGACCCAACCCAGGACCTGAGGGTAGACCCGATTTGGGTCGAGGTATGGGTTTAAAAATTAGACCCGATGGGTCGGGTCAGGGTCCAAGACTTGGACCCAAACATTATTCGAGTCTGGGTTCCATATCATTTTTTGGGTTTGGGTCCTACTGGATCCAACCCGACCTGTTGCCACCCCTATCATTTTTCTTTTTGATGTCATGACAAAAATATCTTATTGTCTTTCATCATTTATTCAATAAATGGAAGTATGGTTCAAGTGAGCAAAAACACAATGGAAAAATCATTAAAAATAGGTAAGAATCAAGAAAAAGAATAAAAAAAAATGATAAACAACATAAAAAGTAATTAAATTATGATAATAAACTTCAAAAAAATAGAAAGAAACTTAGAACGGGTTAAAGATCATTTTTTAAGACAACACAAAAATATAGAAAAAAATTAGAGAAATAAAACAATTTATAGAATGTTCATAATAAGTTAATTATAATTGATTAAGTCCAAGAGTAAATCAATTATACAATTATGTGTATCCCAGATTTGGAGGGTGTTCCGGTCTCAACAAGCAGTTTAGCAAGTGACTTAGACGAGTCCAAGTTGACTCACCCCACTCGTCAAAAAATACTAGTTACAAATCCCTTTGTAGAGATAGAATTTTGCTGGTTTCTCTTTTCAGTTAAACTGATGTATCTCACTCCAAAAGTGTTTTTGAAATCTCATTACCCTTATCCAAAAAAAATAAAAAATAAAATAAAATAAAATAAATAAATAAATATATATATATATATATATATATATATATATATTATGAGACCATTTATCTTTACTATAACATTGTTACTACTAGCTATTAGATGTCAAATTAGACGGCTTAGAATATTCACAAATTTCGAGTAATTAATTTTTGAATTTCGGGTGTAGTAAATGACACACTCATAACCACATGATTGGAAATCTGAAAGACGAGAGTGATTGTGACCACCTTGCATTAAAGGTGGCAAAAATTCCCACTGCGTCCCAGACAAAATTTTTATATGGACTTTATGCCCAATCAATGATACATCCTCGACTGCCTTATTTCACATCAAATTGGTCTTATATGTGATCTTCTTGTATCAAAAGTAAATAGTATCACTATAGACATTTCCTTTAATTATCTCTTTATCTATGATGGGTCATGGATGGTAGAAAGGTAGAAATTGCATCCTCCATATAGGACCATACTCATAATAGTTATGGACCATACTAGTTAATAAATTGAAAGGTGTTTAGTTGGAAATACAACTTTTAAAAATGTGGAGACATCGTGACCCAAGAAGCCCTCTTTTTTCGTCACTTTTTCATATTATTTTCGATATGTTTATTTGGGAATGGGTCCCTGTTTATAGGTGGTCCCATGGGACCAAATGTAAAACAATGTACATTTGTTCACGTCTGTGGAACCCACCTAATTTGGGTGAGTTGTTTGACATAGAACTTCCTAAACATGTTCCTTTGAAAAATAGGAGGTAAATGAGTTTGATCACAAATTTCCAGATTTATTTTTCATATTATTTTCGATATGTTTATTTGGGAATGGGTCCCTGTTTATAGGTGGTCCCATAGGACAAAGTGTAAAACAATGTACATTTGGTCATGTCTGTGTAACCCACCTAATTTTGGTGAGTTGTTTGACATAGAACTTCCTAAACATGTTCCTTTGAAAAAATAAGAGGTAAATGAGTTTGATCACAAATTTCCCAAGATTTGGAAGTCCATAGTCAGTATTGGAGTGCATTTTCACTTGAGGCACTTTCTCATCTACAAGTTCATTTGTGGTCCATCAGGAAATTTGATAGGAAGACGACCAAATAATGCCCTCAGAGGACATGAAATCTTGAAAATCTTGAAATTTGACGGTCCAAAATTGTGTTACAAGATGCACAATTTCTAAAACTTGAATTCTATTTTTTCTCAAGTCCATGCATCTTGATGACGAGATAATCACTTTAAGGATATTTGGACATCAAAACAACCTCTTCTAGTGAAAGTTTTGAGGTGGGTTCTAATTTAATTGTTTAGAGCCTCGGCTCTATTCAAACTTTTTCCTTTAGTTTTTAGGTGAGTTCTAAGTGTTTCAAAACTCAGAATACTATTTATTTTTTCTTGTAAATACTTACTTGTTGATTATGAAATGGATACCCAAAAATTCACATTCAGTATTTCTTCTAGTTTGCAAGTGAGAGCAAGCATACAGTGTGCACTCAGTGGAGTACGCTATACAAGCCCTTAATTAAACCCCCGCGACGTCGCTCATCTTCATAACGACAAGAGTCCCTGCTATTAAATAGTTCAAATTTTTAAATTACTCTTTACCTAAACCATTGATTTGAATTGAAGTTGTATCCCTTTATGCCTATACTTTATCCAAATTATGAAAAGTGCCAAAAGGGACCAAACCACGGTTTCTAAGTTGTCATACATTTACATTTGTGTAAGGTGCTCTCTTCATACAGTAGAACTAAGGTACATCTCTAAAATATTTTTGGAGATATAATTTCTGTATCGGAAACCTTATGATAACTTGAAGTTGGTATGAATAAAGCAAATTTATAAACACTCGAAAATCTTAAAAATAAATAATCCAGATAACTTGTTACAAGATGTACTATTTTAGAACTTGAAATTCTTTTTTTTTTTATAGTATGCTAAATTTTATAGTATACTAATTCTGCCTCATTATGTTGAATGATTACACAAGAGGGTTGTAGAGATCAAGAGTGTGAAATACATGCCTTTCTACTTGTCCCTATTCTCATTTCTCGCAAGTTTACTTCGGATGACTTACGGGTTGCTGGGCCACGACATCATCCTTGCAGTAAAATACTAAAACCCAACAACTTTGTTCTTCATTTATCATTACTTCTTATTTGATATTTCCTCATAAATTATCGATACCTTGAATATCCCCAGGTCAGCGGGAATGGGTCCTCTACCCATGGCAGGAATGAAATCCAACACGTAGGAGTGGCAAGGGTCCAGTCTGGGTCTAGGTCCAAGTCCAAGGACCTAGACCCGACCCGAAAATATACACCGGGACGAGGACCTGGACCTGGACCCTGACCCCGACCCGAATTGTTTATAATGGACTCGGACCCTAATCAAAGAGAGGAGAGAAAGAGAGATCAAAACCCTAAAGATAAAGGGTTAGTTATAAGAGGATTAATCCTTACCGTTCATTTTATAAAAGAATAATGGTGGGGATTAAGCACATATAAATGTTATAACTGTAAATATATCTATTTAAACTAAATCAATAAATTCGGATCAGGTCCACATGTATGCGGACCCAAACCCAAATATTATCCAGACTCAAGATTTGGACCTGGACCTCACCCATCAAGTCCAAATCTTGCCCAAACATGGGTGAGGTCTACCCATCAGATCTTAGGTCTGCCAGTCGCCAACCAAGACGTCATATTGTAGCACTAGAACCCTTTTGTGTTTTATAGAAAGCCATTTTACTTTGGACTGGTGCTTAAAATACCTGGATTAAAAGACGTATCTTCCTTCTTTTTGTTTTTCACCAATCTTTGATTATTTTTGCAGGTACCAAATTTTGTTGGCTGCCCACTGGCCCTTTTGCAACTTGTGATCTTCTTCATTTATAGAAAGAATAAGGGGTACATGGTGGAATCTCAAATATCGGATGTGGAGAAGAAGGCCGATATGGGGAACCCAAACATGACAAAAACTCAAAATGTGGACTTAGAGAAGGCAATCATAGATCTAGAAATGACATTCGAGGTGCGAGCCAAAGATGGAAACACATTCAATCAACCCACTAACTGTTAGTTGATAATGACTGTGGATAAGTGAGGTACAAGGGAATTCACTGAAAGGCAATGCATTGGGCAAGTGATCCCTTGGTTTTTCATTTTTTAGTATTATGAGAAATCGGCATAAGCTAAGAATTACAAGATAGAGAATCTATATTAGGGATGCAAAGTTGTTTGAGAAAATTGAGTTATGATTTGATAATAATAGGGCAAGTTCACGTAAAATATCAGTAGTCATGGAAAATTTTGCTGCCCCATCATTAAAGAGAAATTGTAAAGAGGCTGGACTGAAGGTATCATATAAATCAAGGAAGGGTTTGACATGGAACATACTGCTATAAAGTCCTGCTTAAACCATGGAGCTACATCCATGCACTTATAGCCCTGACTATAAGTTGCCTATTCGTGGCACGAAAATTTTGTACAGATAAGTTTAATGGTGTAAATATATGGTATTGCCTTTTGCAGCAAAGAACTAACCTCTGCAAATAGGAGCTTCTTGTAATAAACTGGAAAGCCACAGCAAAGCCCAAAAGCTGGAGTGCAGTTCAATCTGGTGTAAAAATCTTCTAATCAGAATATAATCCATGAATTGAAAAATCACATAAACTTAACTGATAAAACATCATTTGATGTGATAGTTATAAAATTAAAAAATGCTAACAAACAGAACTACCATATACATTGAAAATAGATCTACCCATGAGATGCATTAATTCAGAGTGACACTATACTAAAAGTATGCAAAACTAATTAGCCTCACCTCTGAAATAGCAAGTACACCCAATCCTGTAGCAGCAGCAAGACCAAGGCAACAGAAATTGCATTTGAATCCTCCTGTTTACACCAATTTGTTATCTTGAGTCAATTGAACATTCAGATGACACAAACACCACAGAGTTGATCATAGTGAGGCCAATAAAGAATGAAAAGAGTAAACTCAATCTTCTTTTTTAGATGGTATTGTATGTTTTCCAAATTAGAATCAAATCCTCAAAATGGAACAAAGTGGTACAATAAGTGACAGCTCAAAGAAACTTGCCTCCCATGAAACAGCAGTGTCACGTATGTTCCATAAAATATGCAAATAATTTAAGGAAAGTACTATGTAGAAAGATGATTGAATGTTGTTAATAGGTTGAGATATTTGTCACCAACGGTGAAAACATTTGCAACAAAATAATAGGTTTAAAATGTGGGAGAATATATGGGAAGGAAATTTCAAGAATAAGGGTGTTGTTTAAAATACAAAGTGTGTCTATTAAACAGTGGTTGAAAAGGATTACAGAACAGGACAATTGAGAAAGATCTATCATAAGAATTCTCAAGCAAAGGGTCCTATTAAAAAATTTAAATTATGAATATTGAAATGTCAATATCAAAAAAGAATAAATGGGCTATATGGTACACATTTCAATATCAAAAAAGACTAAATGGGCTATATGGTACAGAAATTCAAACTTGCTTGCATTAAAAACAAATGCTAAAAACACAGCTACATGGTCAAAAGGGAGTATTCAAAATTTTTGCTGATCATCACCTTTAATTATGAAAAATGAAAACACATGAGAAAAAAAATTCAACTTTGGAAATGGAATACAAAAAGAAACAGTGATGTATGGCACCTGGTACACTATACTTCACTGTCCATTCCCATGATAGAGATCAACGATACACAGGTGAATCTCTGTCATTGAAAATTTCAGTTATACTCTGACTGTCATTTGCCAGACAATGGATGCCCTTGTGGTGTACCATATACCATTGGTCTATGGTGTACTTCCCTTTTTGTTCTTTTTGTTCTTCAGATACTGATCAACTGATATTTAGAATAACCTAATCAAATACTTCAAAAGAAAGGAAAACATACACCAAACCCTGGCCTAACCTCATAATACCTGTGAGAAAAAAAAACAAGAAAAAAAAGGAAAAACATAATAGTAAGGAAAGTGAAACGTACTCCAAGAGAACCGTCGAGTGTATCCTTCAAATTGCTAAAATCAATAGGAAATGATTTATTGGGAGGTCACCAAGGAAGGAAATTATTTATTGGGAGGTGACCAAGGAAGCTTACTGTTCTGCAAGAGGTAGTTAACATATCATATTACTCTAAACTTTTCATGTAAAACGCTATGGCATATGAATTCAAAGATTCATAGGGAGAGGACTATAAAAAAAAAAGAAGGGAAAATGAAGACCAGCCATCCTCGAGATCCTTCAGCACCATCCTTTAGAGCGAATGCAGCTTTGAATCCATTGGCAGTAACCAATTCTGCTACCTGTGTTGAGTTTCCTTCGAACCTGTCTTCCAACTTAGCCACAATCAGTCTCAATATGCGAGGAAGAAATACGAATATCAAAGAAATACAATGTGCATCAGATTCCAGAAACAGGGGAGAAAATGGAATTGGACTACACATATACAGTTCAAGAAACTAGGCCAGTTTGCAAGCACCACTAATAGTGAGTCAAAGTATTGTTTCTACTAGAATAATCATTGAACGCATTAGCGAGAAATTTGGTCCACCTCAGCCTCTCAGATTGAATTTTTGAACCACGTTTACTTGAGCGCAAAATGGTGCAATTCATTACCAATTTTACTAAAACAGAAAACCTGCTTTGCTTTAGTTCTTGATTGGAAGTACTCAAGAATGCCACTTACCCAAGAACAGGTGGTCTGTCCAAACTCACTCTAGTGGTGCAAAACTTCATAGGCAAAGGAACCCAATGCAAACCAGTAGGAATTAAGTTCTCGCATCTTGTAGATATTAAATGTGCCATCGAAATGGGACTTTCTCAGAAATAGCACAAGTAGTATTTTATAAACATGAAACAAGAACAAATAATGAAGAAATCAGAAGCAGCAAGCACAAATTACAGAAAAATGAAGAGCCATGTTTGATATTGCCCCAGTCCCCAATTAGAACAGTTAGGAGTACCAATCTAGTCCTTCTCAATGAACATAAGATTAGTATTGATTGGAATTATGGAACAAAACAACATCAACCCAAAAATCGGGAGTTCTGATTGCCTAATTTCAAAGACTGCCAATTTTGCATTTTTCATTTAAAAAGAAGGTGATTCTGAAAGAGCAATAACTAAAATAAATGGATATTAGAGGAATAAAAACAAATAGCACATGGAACACGCAACCAGGAACCTCAATCCACTCATCTTGTTCACTGATACAGAAGTTTCCCAGATAATTAAATTTCCACGCATTCTATAGAACCTTTTTAAACTTTAAAGGATGAAAAGATGATATGACAGCAGAAGCAGATGAAGTAGAATAAAAAAAAAGCTTCTTTAAGATGAAGGTTTGAAGTTATGAACCATTTGGATCTCCTTTTGGAACATGGAGTGTTCATCAATTCATGGTGTGTGTGTGAAAGAGAGAGAGAGAGAGAGGGAATTCAAATTACTAAATACCAAAAGAAACATACATAGAAAACTAAAGGGAAGAAGGATCTTGTGAAGGTGTTTACTTGTCCAAAATAAACAACGTAGTGCTAGGGACCTTGAAGGGCATATGATATGAGTGCCCATTTGGTAATTTACCCCCAGAGTGTAATTTCTTCAAGCCGCAAAATAAAAAAGACGGCTTCCACAAGAAGTAGAAATGATGCTTTTTTTGGAAGCCGCTCCTATACAAAAGCATGGAAGGAGTGCTCCCCTCTCCCACAATGAAACAGGCCCTTAGCGATGTGAGCTGAGGTCATATATAGTTCGGAACATTCTCTAGGCGTCGGCATAATGTTTCAGACCTGGATTATTTTCCGGCCACACGTCACATGACCCCTGTCTACCTTGACCCAACCACATATGATAGAAAAGTTCCCAGCCACATGTAATATAAAAAACCCCGGCCCAGGCCAAGCTTCTAGGCTGTTAGGCTGGGCTTAAGGCAAAATCAGTCCAGCCCAATCCAGGCATGTTGTTGACTCTATAGAATCCAAACGGAATTTTATCTCTTTTATTTTAAAATAATCCAAACGAAATTTTATCTCATGGCAATCCTTGCCGTTCAATCTAACTCAAGGAATCACATCTCTAAGGGGAAAACACAATGGAGAATCCAAGGCCAAGACATTAGATTCCAGTTGTTTTGAGGGTGATAACCAATCGATGAATTGGGGTAAGATAATCAATCAATGAATTACTGATGGAATTAGAAGAGACAAATGGGCCCCATTCTCTACAGTGATGAGTGACGACCCTCGTTAAGTCTGAACATTTTACTTCTCTAAAGTCATGAAGACTGTAGAAGATTTTCATTTCTTGTCATGAATATCCTAGAGGATTCCAGACCCTGCAAGGAATGTGTTGAATACATCAATCTTAGGTTTACAATGTGAAGTTACTGTTGAGAGCATAACGTCAAGAGTATTCAAGGTTAGATTTTCGATGCAGTTTGGCAAATCAGCAATCCAGTCTACTGAACTGATCATTAAAAAAATTACAAATTAAAAAACTTCAAGAAAAGTGGGGCCAGGTCTGACCTGTCCCTGATAGAACCGATCATGTTACGGGGAAAATGAACTGGTTCCCCATGTTTCAAGAAAAGCGGTTCATCCCCAAATCCGATGATAGATTAGCTGGTTGTGATCCAAATCAGCTTTTTTTTTTTAAACCTTGAATCAAGACAGAACCCAACCCGGACCAACTAACGAATTGGTTGATTAGATTTTTATGTAAACCCCAAAATTACTGAAGGACTCAGTTTGGTTCTCATGTAAAGTCACCAAAAACTGCTTTCATATGAAACTGACAATTTCATACGTTTATTGTGAATAGCCAAGGAAACATAGTTCCATGTGAATTCATTTCTCCATGAATTAGCTGGAAAGCATCTACCCACCCTAGGGTAAGAAGACCTTTCCGGGAAACCCTTTCCTAATCAGACCCAAATTAGGAAATAAAATTTAGCCTAAGAGTCCTCGCTCCCAAACAAAAACCCCTTCGTACTCTCTCCGGAACCCTCCTACTGTACCAAAACCCAACGGTCCCCTCACTTAAACCCTTCTCTCTCGAAAACGAAACCCTCCTCTCTCTCAACCTTTTTTTAAAGGACCTGGACCCGGTTTCTATGCGGCCAAGCCCACATATGAAAAAATATGGGCCTCTTAATAAATCTATTTTTGACATGAATGATAAGACTTGATTTTTAAGGACATGTAATCTCTAACATGGAGATCATGAATATGAAAATAATCAATAAATTTTAAAAACTAGAACTAATAATTCTAGTAAGAAAACATTTGGACCGTTAGTTTCCATTGTTTGTAGATAAACACCTACTTGCATCCATCTTTAAGATAGATGCTTTACACTTTTTAGAAAACATATGTATGTTAACACGTATTGCCATAAGGCCTCACGTGACTTTGCCTACAATTGTGGGCTGGGAAGTGTACAATTGTGGAAGGAATCCTATGTTTATCACATTCAACGTACATATGAATCAACATCCATATGAACGCTGGATGTATATCCCTGAGATTAGGGAACCCTTGTTTTCTCAGAGACCCGTTGAGAAATATAACGGATAGCTTTTCTTCTCCCTATAGAAAGGAAAGCCTGAGAGAGGAAGAATAGAGTTAGAAAAAAAAGTTATACAGAGTTTCATTTGTAAAACACAGATCTCCTCTTTTCTCTCTTAAAAGAGCAGGAAAAATTTTAGTTATGCGATTACCAGCCTCACGACATCTCTTCTCTGATCTCGGATTGGTCTCCCATTCGAATAATTTTTGCTGACACTGGTATCAGAGCTATCATGTTCCTTATTTGACCTCTGATCTTTAATTTTATTTTCTAGTTAATAAGTGCTAAATTAAATGGAGGAGATGAATCCAAAATTCATGACCATCCATGCTCACGATTAGGTTCTTTGAAAGAAAGACCGATGTGATCTTTTGTCGAGAAAAACAATTTTTTTTTTTTTAATAATAATCACCCCTTAAAAGTTTAGCAACAAGATCACTCATAGATGTCTTATTACAAACAAAAGAAATTCTAAAAAATAAATGACACATCAATAAAATAAATCTCAACAACTTGAGGCCATTCATACAACCTAACACTATGCTTGAAAATATAAAATAAAGAACAAACAAATAAAAGAAAAGATGTCGTAGATTATCTCAACCGGATTTTTTACACCCTACACCGAGTCACCACATCCAATGGCGAGGGATCTGTGGTCTAGCTTCAATCTCGAACCGGGATAGTTGATTTTGGCCAAACTATCTAACCACCCTTAAATTCTCTACTAAACCTTAACCCCCAAAATTAACTTAGGCGTCCCTCTAATTTTTCCAACCCTTAGTTTCTTCTTAGGTCTAGAGAAAAGAGAGAGTACTACCTAGGGTTTTGGAGAGAGAAATATAGAGGAGAGAGAGTGGGGCATGCCCCTCCAAGAGAGAGAGATTAGGGGAGAGAGAGAGAGGGTGTGTAGAGATGGGGGAGAGCACCCCTATTTATAGTGAATATTTAGGTTTAGGGTTTTTTAAGGTTTTCCCATAGTTTGCGTCTTTTATGAGATTGAATCTAGACTGTTAATCACTGTGACTTATGAGGTGAGAGATCTGAGCCATTCATTCTATAGATGGGCCATCAACATTATGGAAGGTGCTTTGACCATTATCCCCCTTTCCTTAAACCATTTTCCCATCAATATATTTAAATAAAATAAATATCATGCATTCTATAAAATTGCATGTTTATTTAAATATCATGCATTCAATAAAATTGCGTGATCCATGTCACATATTCCACAAAGAACAAATAAATACTACCAAATATAAATAAAATAAGGTCAATATTTACTATCTATCGAAATTGACCATATCCCTTTAAAACAAACTTGCTATAAAATAAATAAAGCCATGGTCAATATTTCCCTTCCAACATTTGACGACATGCCACAAAAACAAAGTTACCATAACTTAAAGACTTGAACACAAAGCAAACAAAGAATCCAAAGGGGTAGGGCGTGCCACCCCTATGTGGCACATGTGGCCCCCACCCACATGCCACACGGTGGGCCCATGTGCACTTTAGGCCCCCATGGATTTTTATAAAAATTTTTAAAATTAAATAAAACAAATTAATATATATTTGAATTTTTACAACTTTGTAAAATCAATAACTGTCATAATTAAAATATTGAGAGATTCATAAAAATTCAAATAATAAAACTAAAATTATTTCAATAATAAAATGAATACAATTAAATTAATATGATGGGAAAATGATCCATATGGTTTTAGGAATTAAATCTGTAATTATAGGGTACTCCACCTTCAACTGTGGACTACAGACCACACTAACTTTATCGAACCGACCCAGTGTTTTCCATGACCCACAGTCCAAGCAGAGGCTCTTTAGCGGGTCACCAAAGTTAGGTCGATGAATCAAGGGGTTGCAATCCTAGTCTGTAGATTACAGGTCGTCCCTTAGAGACGAGTCAAGGTCACCATGACCTGATAAGATCACAACTCTATGACGCATAGGGGTATCTCTCGATTATGCATACGCTTCACCCAAAGGTGGATATCCGGCTTTCCCGAACGATTTATCGATATGCATGCCGTGTGATAGAGCATGGATGAGGTTTTGGCCCTTGTCTTAGTAGGCCTACCATCACACACAATGGTCACACAGTCCCTCGGCTCATTCATCTAGGCATAAGCTCCGACCTCATCAAGGCCTAATTCAAAACTCTCATCGGTTAATTCTTTATGCCCAAGTACCTCAGGTTTTCCAACCGAGTGGCCTAGATCAATAAACACAGTCCGGTATAAGCAAACATTATTCGCTCAATATAGTCCTCAAAAGACCGCACTCCCACTAACTTTATGTTTTCAATACACACTCAAAAAGCCTTTAAAGACTATATAAACCCAACATCTTCTTTATCATTAATATCTTTATCTTGTTTAGTGCGTTTCATCTGCTGGTTGCTAACGTGTATCTCATCATGATCACAAAGTTACTCTCTGTTATTCCTTTGTGACTATTATCCATGTCATTAAACCCATCCTCTTCTATAAGAGTTTATCGCATTATCCATATATTTTGCATCAAAGCATTTATCTCGCCCTTCTCTTTTTCACGATAGTCACTACTCTCTCTCAAGGCTTTTGCCTAAGAGAAAAGCCATTACCCAATCAGTTGGTCTCAAGCCTTTTGCCCAAGATAATCGCTACTCTCTCTCAAGCCTTGGGCAAGAATGGTAGTGGGTTTTGTCCACTAAGGATAATCTGAGCACTGTGACTTCTGAATTTTATTTTCTGGTTGGTTCTCTGCAAATCAATTTAATTTATTT